ACATGATGAAAGGGTACCAAAAAAGATCATTATTGGTATCCCCCTCTCATTATTCCATCACATACCTCGCTGAGGGATGGTAAGAAAATGGTCCAGTTCTTTGAGGTCATATTTGTGGTTATTTATTTAGGTCTTTGACATTGATAAACTTAATGAATGTACTTTAGCTAGGAAGAATACCATTATTTATTTAATTACATATGTTTTTTATGAATAACATAGAACACTTATTTGGTGACTGTTTTATAGTGTAATATAGTGTAAATATATCACAAATAAAAAGGTTGTGAATTTAGTGCATAAGCAGTTAAATATTTTTAAGAGGTGGTGTTACAACATCACAGACATTGAGGCAACTATGAAGGAGTGTGTTTAAACACATACCTTTATAAGAGGATTGAAAGGCCAACACCTGATAAAGTCTAACAATGGACAATATATGTACTTCCCTGTGGCACTATGCTGGAATCAACATTCTGAAAGTGTAGACATTGACTTGAACGCAATGGATACTTAGCAAAAGAGTAATGTGATAATTGTTTTCTAACCATAAATGATTTGTTTTAATGTGCAGATTTTATATTTTAGTATTCTATACTAAATGTACTGTTTGTCCTCTTCCTCCTTTTACGTGTATCGTTACTTATGGGATGTATCACTGAATATCATTATACTGGTGTTCCCCAAAGAAACATTTACTGTGCAATAATGATCGCCCCCACCTCCCATGAATCTGAGTTACATTCATAATTTGGTAATGTGTGTTTTTTTACCCTTTTTTTCTCTTTCATTTTTATCACAACTTCTTAAGTACATCTTTCAACATAAATATACATTTTCTAGAATATTTTGCATTAGAGTATATTTATTGAATATTTGTTGCACATATACTTTATTGTTCATTTTTGTTTGCGTTCACTGGTGCCCATTGGGAATGCATGACACATTGATCAAGGTCATCCTTCCACACATTTCTGTTTCTGCTGCTGATCCAAAAAAATGCATACAATCCAATTTGAAGTCATTTCTAATCCCTCAAATTGGGAAAATAATTTCTGACTCCAAAATTAGATTTTCACTGGATCAACAAGCTGTTACCCCGTATATTAATTACAATATCATTGAATATTTTCCAGGAATCTGTTGTTTATAAATTTGCACAGAATCTGATAAAACAACCTCTTCAGGCAGAGAATTCCACATCATTATTTTTCTTACTATAAAGAACTCTTTCCTCTGTTACAAGTGAAACATCCTATTAATTAACAGACTACCAGAGAGCTGTTCATACTTGCCCATATATATGTGTGTAATGATAAATCTCTTAAGAGACACCTTTTTTTGTAAACAAAACAAATTCATGTTTTCTACCCTTTCTTCATAAGTACATCATTTTTATATCTCTCTATGGGTGTGCATTTTTCCGGGGGAGACCTGTAATTTAGGGCTTGGTTGCAATTGAGGGTGAACCTTTTCAGCTAAACAAGGATTTTTATTCTGGTCTGTTATGAGCATGATGCAAATAGCATTTACTCTTTGTTATGATGAAGCTGGTTAAGAGTAGTTGGGATATATGTTACCAAAACCTAGGGCCTTTTTATTTAAATTTTTGGTGACTAATAAAGCTGTTATATACCAGTTATTTAGTGTTGTTCTTGACGCCAACTATTTATTAAACAGGCATTTATTAACAGGGGCTATATATTGTCATTGAATATTGGTTAAATCATACTTTGTAACTCAATGATGACATGATGTTATATTTCACAAATTCTTAAACTCAAAGAGTAGACCTATGCAGGTGAATCTAGGGTTAAAACATGAAAATGGGCACAATCGGCATCCATCAAAAAGCTGTGAGTGTTTTTCTAATAAGGTCATTAACCAACATCTGCAATTTAATTTGACACTCGCATTTACAGTGCTAATTCATAGGTTGTTATAGATGGATCGGTGGCATATTGACATTGCTTCCAAGAATAGTCTTTACATTTAGAACATTGAAGGTACAATTGCCCACTAGGAAAATAATAATACTACTCGAATATTAATGACATTAAAATACATATGCCATTTTGCTTTATTCAGTACCATGGACAGGGGACCCTTATTGAGGGGCACACAAAGCTTTTTGTGCAGACAGCACAAACCTGGTACACATGGCTTAAAAGGTTAAGTAGTGATGGTAGTCACAGCATACTGACATGTTCCTATTAAGTTATGTCATGACTACATATAGCTATCCATGAATTATCCTGATTGGTGTTCCATAAGGCTAGATAATAAGTGTTTGGCTGCTTGATGCAGAGTTAACATTTCAAACTAACACTTTCTTGTAATTTGTTACATTTATTAAAATACCTTAGTTGACCTTGGTAAATCCACACTTAAATGAACACTTCACAATCGATGATACCCATTTTGATACAACACCTAAATAACATACCATTGGTGGAAGTAGCCCTGTCGACAATTAATAAATTATGATTTTCAGGTCTGATGTAAATTAATGAAATATGGTAAATCAGGGAATAAAACTGGTGACAATATTTTAATAACTCAACAACATATCCCCATTTATATCATAATTCTTAATTAACCCAAAAAATTCAACTAAAAGTGACACCTTCAGAGTATTGAACAAGCTCATAGACAACATGCTTGTATATGTTTGACAAATCGGTTCTCTTTGGTAGTCATGGATATCTATGTGACAGCAAGGCTAATACTTGCAGAGAGTTATTTAGCTCCTTGAGTCAATATATTTCTCAAGGAGTAAAACCAAAGAAAGACGTTACCTGCGCTCTTCCCAAATCCCTTGGGATTATTTAAATAAATTAGTTATTTAGGTGGATTTAGGAGGTTATTTAGTTTATCCAATGGCCATGAGAGAGTTTAGCCCACCTGCCACGTCAAAGCAAACCTTCCAGGTGGGTCCTACACTAACCTTTCACCTTGCCTCCTTGAGCTTCTGGCAAAGTTATCTCTAATGAGACAGAAAGGGATATTTTTTTATATACACCCCTACATGCTTATTAACCCTCAACAAGGAACACATGGGATGGGCATCAGCATTGCAACATAGCTGTATGATCCCATGTGTTCCTTTTTGGGGGTTAATAAGCATGTAGGGGTGTGACACATTTTTATTGTTCTTACTATAAAAACCCTTTCCTTTACCTTAGACTAAATCTCCTTTCCTCCCAGTCTAAATGCGTGACCTTGTGTCCTACGTATAGTCCTGTTTATGAGGTACAGGCCGCAATCTTTTTAATCACACTAATAAAGTGTTAGTAAAAGGGAAAGATTTGCCATCGTGATGACATATAAAAGGACCATTGACGAGTAATGCCTGAACATTTCAAACTGGACAAATGCAGGAGTCAACTATCTCAAACAAAGTGAAAAACAAATCTTTTCAGATATGCTTCCAATTTGGCTATTTTGGCTTTAAATTCAAAATTCACTTTGAATTCTCACTTTAGTGAATTACTGTGTTTTGACTTTTGACTAATTTTCTAGTCAATGACAGTGCTGTGTTGTGGCTCAAACTCCCATAGAAATGAATGCCACTCATGTACAGTTACATTGTATCTTTTATTAATGTTTGTTCCGTGTTGTTCTTTCTGATATTGAGGAACACTATATTAATTCAAGTTGTTTTACTTTGCACTTCTTTCCTAAAAACAATTAGTGTTTTGAAATATTAGTAGTAGTAGAATTTTTGGGGGGAGGGGAGGGTCAGGCAGGGCATATTGCAAAACAAATACTTATTGATATTGAATTTTGATAGATTTAATGAACTCATGGAAATAACACATGTAAATGGTATCTCATAGTTATCAACAATGTAGGCACAATGCACAGATGCTCTGTTTCACTAATTATCTGTATAGCTAAACTGTTGTAACCCATGTATTCCCAAATTCTGTTGCCTGGGGTAAAAGTAAGCCGGTTTATTGTTGCAGAATGACCTTCTCAAGGTCGAAAGGTGAACTGTTGTTTCTTAATGGTTCACTTCAAAGACGGCTTGCTTTACACAACTGGACAGGATGTAAATAAATAAAGTGAGTTCATATAGACAATGTGTTTTCTGAGGAGGTGGCAAATTACCTTTAATGTGGTGACAAGCAAACGGAGACCACAAACAAGTAGGTATGATGTATGTATGTTTCCTTACTGGATGAAGGGAAGAATCCCATCACACAAGAGATTTATGATTTTATTGTCCCATACATCAACAATATTAAATATCCAAAAAAAAAGTCACCCTGTTATTATTTGTAAATTAAAGCCATCAAGAGTACATCAGATCCTCTTACAAATCAACATTTATAGAAACAATTTAATATCAGTATTTTTAAGTATAATTTGTTATTACAACTGTTGTAATTTTAAAATAATTCAACTTTGAAAGCAGTTTGAATATAATTAGGCAGCAAACAGCTACATTGATGATGCCATTAATGTAAATTTGGTTGCTTTAGTTGTGTCCACCTATTTTTTTTTTAATATTCTTTATTTTTGTTGTGCAAAAGTTAACACATGAGCTTGTGATGCCACAATGGCATTAGCAAGCTTAGCAATAACAGACAGTACGATACAGTATCCTGGCATTCAGAGAAAATGCACAATTTTTAGGATTAAGATTAAACAAGATGGTGTATGGAGCAGAAATGTGAGAGTTAAGAGGAGAAAACATAGAAAGCACATATCTGCATCTCAAACATTTTAACTTTGCCAACGGGTGTTGAAATACATAGACCAGATTCTCCAGGCTGTTGCTTTGGCTGGGGGATAAGATCAAAACAAAACAAATAGACAAAATAAATGTAAACGGTACATTTAACAACTGGAATGGTTAATAAGTAAGCCCCAGCTCAAGGCCCAAGGTGAGGGCTATGGAACATGTTCAGGAGGGACTGTCAGCCTATGCCTAAATTGGGCATCATTGGAATATATGTTATTATCAACGAATGGCAGCCCATGTAAGTGTCCCCTCATGGCCCTTTTTTGCTCAGTAGCCGATCTCTTAGTGTCTGGATCCTGAGGGTATCCAATGCCATAGACCCGCCTTTCCGTGCCCTCATGTTCAGCTTTTGAGGCATGTTAATCCAGACATCATCTCCTGTGTGGAGAGTGGTTCCCATGGGTACATCCCAATTCGGACTGAGGACCAGGACGGCAGCGACTACATGCGGGACCAGACTCTTGGTGTGCATATGCCCTTCCAAGCCGCGTCCTCCACTTTCACACTGTAGGTGCGACACCAGGGTGTTTTGTGACCGGATGTAAATTGTTACAGTTTCTGAAAGGGCCAGGCCAGGCTCCAAGCATCGCTGTAGACCTTTATGCCCGTCGGCTAGTTGTGTTAAATAGTTGTGACCATAGGTGGTCGAAGGCTCGGGCAATCCATTCCACTGAGCTGGAGGACTTCCTCCGGCAGCCATGTTGGATCACACATGGCGGGAGGTTTGCTCTGCGGGTCCTGTAGGGTTTTCTGGCGGTTATCAAGCAGTGCTCCAGTGGGGACCGGGATATCCCCCACTGGTCCAGGAGGGGGTGGAGGGGTAATGGGGCTGCACAGAGGCGTCTACGAGCTGTAGATCACCTGCTTTTCCAGCTGCCAAGCACACCAGGTCACAGAGCCAGAACAAAGTAAGAGCCTATCAGACCAACACAATTTAGACTGTGAACGGTGCATGTAGAGTTGGTGTCGGTCTGCAGCTTGAAACTGACTGTTTCTGTGTCGCTTTTAAGCGATTTTGCCTTATTACATGGTTTAGATGGTTTAGAATGCCAGAGCTATGATAAAACACGTCCGGCCATCTTGAGTGTCAGGCCCCGTCCCCCGTATCTGAATTTTTAAAACATTTTTATTCTTTATGTTGAAAAAAGATTTATTGTTAAGGAACACTCCAAGCACCAAAACAGCAACATAATTTCACTGTAAGGGTTATGGTTTAAGGAGTCCTCTGGTGTCCTCCCAGACTAAGTAGTCAACCCTGAGAACAGTTTAACACCTTACCTGGGCTCTACCAGGTGACCATCAATGCCTTTTTTGCAGCCAGAAGCACCTGCAAAGAGCTTCCAGTGAGCTTCACTGAGTTAAGTCCTGCTGAGAGTCTTAACTTACCGTATATACTTGTGTATAAGTCGATCTCATGTATAAGTCGAGTGCAGTTTTGTGACCAACAATTGTGAAATATGCTATGCCTTGTGGATAAGTCGAGGGTAAAACTTGGGGCTATGAAATTCTGTGATTTTTTATAATTACATACACACACACTCATACAAACACACACTACATTATATACACACACACTCATACAAACACACACACTGCATTATATACACACACACTCATACAAACACACACTCTGCATTATACACACACACTCATACAAACAATCTGCATTATACACACACTCATACAAACACACACTCTGCATTATATACACACACACTCATACAAACACACACTCTGCATTATATACGCACACTCTGTGTGTATATAATGCAAAGTGTGTGTGTTTGTGTGAATGTAGAGTGTGTGTGTGTGTGTATAATGCAGAGTGTGTGTTTGTATGAGTGTGTGTGTATTTAATGCAGAGTGTGTTTGTATGAGTGTGTGTGTTTGTATGAGTGTGTGTGTATATAATGCAGTGTGTGTTTGTATGAGTGTGTGTATATAATGCAGTGTGTGTGTTTGTATGAGTGTGTGTATATAATGCAGAGTGTGTGTGTATAAGTGTGTGTATATAATGCAGAGTGTGTGTTTGTATGAGTGTGTGTTTGTGTGTGTAGTGTGTGTGTGTGTAGTGTGTGTAGTGTGTGTGAACTGGGTGGGGGGAGGGCATTTTTATTATTTGTAATTTTTCTATTTTAATATTTTAATTTTTTATTTTAGTATTTTTTTTTAATTTTATTTATTTAAACAAATTAATTTTAATATTTTTTAAAAAAAATATTGTAATATTTATTTATTTATTATTATTTCATTTTTTTTTCGTCCCCCCTCCCTGCTTGTTAGCTGGCCAGGGAGGGGGGCTCTCATTCCCTGGTGGTCCAGTGGATGGGCTGTGTAGGAGGGGGCTGGCAGTGAGCTGTTACTTACCTTTCCTGCAGCTCCTGTCAGCTCCCTTCTCCTGCGGTCCGGTCAGCTCCCCTGTCAGGTCCCACTGTAAGTCTTGCGGTGTGAGTGCCACGCGGAGCGTTGCCACGGTAACCTGTGACAACGCTCTGACCCCGCGGCTCTTGCGAGACTTACAGTGGAGGAGAAGGGAGCTGACCGGAACGCAGGAGAAAGGAACTGACAGGAGCTGCAGGAAAGGTAATAGCTCTCTGCCAGCCCCCAACAGGACCACCGGGCTTGTAATGAGCCCGGCGGTCCTGGTCTGTATTATGGCAATGTAAGTTGCCATAATACACACAGTGACTCGAGTATAAGTCGAGTGGGGGTTTTTCAGCACAAAAACTTGACTTATACTCGAGTATATACGGTAAGTCCTGAGAGTGTCAAGTTCTGAGAGTCCTGGATTTGTCAAGTCTAGTTCAGTCCTGAGAGTTTCAGCTGAACACATATGACAGATATCACACAAATCCAGCACATACACATTACACATATCAAGCACAGCCAATACACCTTATACACACACATCAAACACAATCACAACACATTACATCACATCACATTATTGTGAAGGTTATTATATTATAACTCTGACATACTGTCACACAAAATACACTTTACCCTTTGTGATACACTACTATCTATGCACATTACTGTGAATTATATTGTGGAAGAACTCTGTGATACACTCATTCACTCTGCACATTTCTATGAGTTTTATTGTTATGGAGCCTTGTGATACAAATTGTGAATTGCTACAAGTTTTATTGTTGTGGAGTTATGTGATAAACTGATACACAGAGCTCTGTGACTCTGTGATAATCTGTGTGTTTGCATGTGGTTTGCTGCCAAGGTGTTCTCTTTGATTCCAACCTCTTCTTCACCCCTCATGTCCAGTCAATTGCAAAATTCTGCCACTTCCATCTCAAAAACATAGTGCGCAACTGCCCCATCTAAGGCCATGCTAGTCCATGCCGCTATCCTCTCTCGCCTTGACTACTGTAATCCACTTCTCAGTGGTCTTACATGATTCCAACTTGCCCCGTTACAGTCTATAGCGAATGTGGCAGCAAGGCTCCTCTTCCTGTCCGCCCACACCTCCCACACCTCACCCCGCTGTCAGTCCCTACTGTACTGAAAAAGTACGTAAGATATAGGTACTTAAAATAAAAAATTCTGGTTCTTGCTTACAAATCTCTACATAATGCTGCTCCCACCTATCTATACTCCCTCATACACAATTATGTCCCATCTAGGACCCTACGCTCTGCTGAAGACTTATGTCTATCCTCTGTTCGTACTCCCGCCTCTGATGCTTGCCTTCAAGACTTCTCTAGGGCAGCAATGTTCCTGTGGAACTTCCTTCCCTTTTCCATTAGACTTTCACGTAGTCTCCATTCCTTTAAAAAATCATTGAATACTCACTTATTCAGGAAAGAAAACTGCATTCTGAGTCCTCTCCTGCAACTGCCATAAAAAAAGAAATACAAAACACTAAGTCCTCAGTGAATACTATTCTAGCAACCTACTTTCTACCCTACCCTTACGTTTTGTGTCACTATACCCTACTCACACTAGCATGTAAGCTCATTGAGCAGGGCACTCTGTTCCTGTGTGTCCAACTCGTCTGATTACAATTACGTGTCTGTTAGTCAACCTGTTGTATAGCACTGTGGAATTTGCTTCCACTTTATAAATAATAATAATGTGATGCCTCTGTGTAAGTGTAGTATACAAATCCTTTTCTGGGTGGATGTTTGTCTATGTAGACAAACATCCTTGCAAGTTCCCTGCCTCTAACTGAGAAATCTGTTAATTAACCACACACCTTGCATTTTTACTATGAACACCAATATTAATTTTAGACCATACTAGCATTTAGCTGACATCAGTTCAAGCTCCTTTAAACTGTATTAAATAAAGTATATAAATTTCAGTCACCAAGGATACATTTATTATAGCATATATGATTGCTTTCAGCATCAATAGTCTAGTAAAAATAATTAGTTAAGGCCAATAACAATATTAAGCATTAAACTAATATAATTGTCATAAGTAGCATATCAACACATCTTAGTGGAGAATTGTGGCACACCCATTTAATTACTCTGCCACATTACAGATCAGTACCTTAATATCTGGAAAAGCCTATAGCAGAGAATGATAGAATACACATTCAAAAAGAACAAGCCAGCCAAACACAACATGAACAGGCCAACTCATAAAACAAAGGGAGAAGAACAGACGTTTTCTGAGAAGGTAAAATATTTTGGATTCATTATACTAAGCTTTATGAGTGCATGTTCCTGCCTATCCACGGTATGACATTTTTGTTAAAATGGTGTATAAAGAAAATAGAAAAATAATCTTCAAATTCTCGAACACAATAGACATTAAGTATAAATAACAGCACTAATTTGCTAACAATAAGCACAAGCTTTTTGGTCCTGTTTTACCTTTGTGTCTGTATTGCCTGTAGGTGCATGCCTCAATGGGCTTTATGCATGAGAAATTAAAGGGACAGAAAATGCCAGGTAGTATTGGAAGAAAATTGTAGTACAACTGTTAAATCTAAAAAAACATGAGAATAATTGTATATGTTGAAAACTAAGCCCTCAGTGAATACTTTTCTAACAACCTACTTCGTACCCCTACTTTTACCATTTGTGTCACTATATCCCACTCCTTCTAGAATGTAAGCTCATTGAGCAGGGCCCTCCACCTCTCTGTTCCTGTATGTTCAGTGGTCTGGTTACAATTACATGTCTGTTAGTCCACCCATTGTACAGCACTACGGAATCTGATGGCGCTATATAAATAATAAAATAATAATAATAACAGGCTTTTAAAAACAATGATATGTCCACTGATTCAAATTCAGGCATGTATATATCTCCAGCACCTTCATGATAAATCTCATTGCAACTACTAAATGGAGTGCTTAACTTGTAGCGGTACCTGTAAATGTTCCTCTGCTTGTTCTGTTCTATATTTATCCTCTAATTTTACTTTTGATGATCAATAACAGGTTGTTGGTATGTGAGCAATGAGATTGGGAGCCATAAAAATGACTTGAGTAGAAGAGGATAGTTAGGTGTCTCTTCCAGTTTCAACCCTTCTTGCTTTGAACACTTATAACAATTACAATATATATATATATATATATATATATATATAGCTACAACATATACAGTAGAGCTGTTCAATAGGAACTAAGCAAACATTTACGTCTAGCAAAACATCTATCATATATGGGAACAGTAGGTTAAGAGGGCCCTGCCCAGATGAGCTTACATTCTAAAGGTCTAAAGTAAGCCT